GTCCCGATATGTAAAATCATAGAAGTCAAGGTGGGTATACTTTCTTTGCCATATGACTGTATGCTGCCTGACTATCAATAGTTCCAGGTGACGGTTCCACCACAAAACCGCGTTTGACTAAACCGCGCTCGACTAAAGCGCGCCCGATTAAACCGCGTTGCTGACGTCATCAACAGGGCGACAACAGCGAGCGCGGAGAAAGAAGGGCGCTTCAAATAGCGCTTTGAAAGCAAGCCGATTCAAGTTAAGGTAAGGGTTAGGTTTAGGGTTAGCTTTAGGGTTAGGATTAGGTTTAGGGGGGTTAGGTTTAGGGGTTAATTTTAGGTTTAGCGTTTACAGCATGCTTCTGTCTCTGCGCTGTTGTCGCGCTGTTGATGACATCAGCTACGTGGTTTAGTCGAGCGCGGTTTAGTCAAACGCGGTTTTGTGGTGGAACCGTCACCTGGAACTATTGATAGTCAGGCAGCATACAGTCATATGGCAAAGAAAGTATACCCACCTTGACTTCTATGATTTTACATATCGGGACATAGTAAAAATCATTTGGTCCTTGGCAGTTCTTAAAAGTAGATAAATACAATCTCAAATAAACAACAACATATAATATACTATTACATTATGTCATCTTCACATGACTTCTTCATTCCAGTTTGTTTGTTTTTTTTGGTAAAATAAATGATTACAATGGTGTAATATGTCAGGTATTGTTGTTCATTTGAGGTTGTATTTACCTATTTTATGAACTGCTAAGGCCCAGATGTTTGTTTACTCCGTCCTGGTATGTAAAACCACAGAACTCAAAGAGGGTGTACTTCCTTTTTCACATAATTGGACAGGTTTCATCAATTATTCCTATTATTCCTCTGGTTGTTCAATACAATCGACAGGGTCACAAAAATCAATCTATTCAGGTGCTAACAAACTCAAAAAAGTCATTAAGTATATTAAATGACCAAACATTTTAATTTCCAAAGGTTTTCTGCCAAATTTCGTTCCTTTGACCAGTTTCAAATGTTTGCAATTACTGCCTAGAATGGGAAAAACAGAAAGTGATTAATTCCAACAACTGAACTGCTTTCTTATAGGGAAGTCTCCTGCATCATTAGGCTGTGCTATTATTCCAACAGTGGCTGCAGAGTTGGGTTAATGCAGTAGAACACATATGCATACAAACATACATACAGACAGACAGATACCCCAGATATTGTGCTGGTACTGTACAGCTTATTATAAAGGACTGAATCAGTGGTGGGAATCAAATAATTTAACGATGGGTTCAATGCCCTAATGACTGGCTGCGTGGACATGACCATGGTGGGTATGGCCAGGGGATGTGACAGGCAGCGCTCAGCCTCCTGCATCCCCCTGGGAGCAAAAACAGATTGCAGGGGGGTGCCACACACCCCATGAGCCCCATTTTGGACCTAACAGACCTCCTTGCAGCCTCCTGGGAGCAAAAATGGGCTGCAGGAGAGCCACACTACACCCCCACTGTGCCACGTTTTGAGCCTAGTAGGCCTCCCTGCACTTACCTGGCAGCCAAAATGGGGTGCAGGGGGACTCCTGGAAAGGGCGGGGCAAGAAGGGGCGGGGCAAGCCAGCTATTTAACAAGTGGTTTGTCTGAACCGACCCAGACTGGCTGAATCCCACCACTGGACTGAATTATATTTTTGGTAGCTTCTAATGGTCCTGTATTTTAACATCTACCTATAGGAGAAAAGCAATGGTGAACAATGTATAACTACAAGTAAGACAGGTGTAATTTGGGAAAACAGCAGGTTATATAGTTAAAATTAAACACTAGATGTATAGGATACTGTGTGGCATTCAACTACATATCAATAAAAGTGTACGCTCACAGAAAGAATCAACATGGAAGGAAAATGTGTCAATGCTTTTCTTTCAATACAAGTGGAAACAGGAATATTTTGGCAAATGTAACCTGAACACCAGCATATGCAGATGTTACAGGTTTTATAAACCTGAATTGCAGGTTTATAAAAAGATAGGAATGTTTCTCTAATTATGAACCCAGCCCATTTTCCTCTTTGATTTTTGACTTTGAAATCATTACACTTAAAGCAATTTGAAGGGCCATCAGCTGGCCTCTTTAAAAAAAAACATTAAATACTGGCATATACTTTCTGTGTGAATTTATGTATTTGTATTTGTGTTTTAGAAACTGCTTCTCAAACTTTCCCAAAATCCTTAAAAACCACAATTTGACTTCTTCCTGCTCTGCTTTCTCCATTTTTCTGGCCAGCAGAAAAAATACCAGTGTCTTCACTCATTTGACCTCTTCAATCACACCATCAGACACTGTGGTGACTGATGGCAGTTGAATTACTAGATTCACTCTTTATTTAAATAGGCCTATCAGTTTCTAAATCAAGTCTTATTCCTTTCTTTCCTCCTCACTATGGTATTTTGCATAAGTGACAAAAATTTTCTGTTTACCTATTTGCCCTGGTACAATAGACTAGTGTTCTGGAGTCAATATGTTTCATCCAATAGTTGAGATGAAACAGATGAAACCTGAAAGCACTGAACTCTATTTTGTTGTTTTATGTTTCTTTGTTGGCTCTATTGTTGTCTCTCAAAGGTCCTCCTAGACAGTTGATTACTGGTGGATGACAAGTGGAAGACATGGCTAGAAGGACTTTTGCCCAGTTGCAACTGGTATACTACTAGAGACCCTTCCTGGAGCATATGGGCCTGCCTATATTGACTCATATCTTTATCACTACTCTCTTGAATTTCTACATTAATTAATATATATTTAATTAATTAAACAGAAAACAACTAGCAAGTCTCCACAGCAGTGGTGGGTTTCTGCTAGTTCGCACCGGCTCGGAAGAACTGGATGATGAAATTTACCGATCCAGTGAGAGGAGGTTTGACTAGTAGACCCGGATGTAACTTCCGGAATGCCTGCCCAGGCCCTGTTGCTTGCTCGCTCACCCCCACCTGTCCGGAAGCAGCTCCATCGCTCACTCCCCCCGCCCGTCCACACTATCCTAGCCCAATTCGGTGTCAAGTCCCATACCTGGGAGTGGTGGTGGTGAACGGAGAAGCATGGAGAGGTCCAGCGACACAATCCACCAGATAGCAGCGGCAAGCTCAGGAGTTTTCTCCTGGATTCCTCTCTGCCTTCTTCCACCGATCTCCCAAAGTTCTTTCCCCAGTGTGTGATAGCTTTCTACTGGATTCCCCTCTGTCCTGCCTCCTCAGATCTCCCAAAGTTCTTTCCCCAGAATGTGATAGCTTTCTACTGGATTCCCCCCTGTTCCTGCCTCCTCTGATCTCCCAAAGTTCTTTCCCCAGAATGTGATAGCTTTCTACTGGATTCCCCCCTGTTCCTGCCTCCTCTGATCTCCCAAAGTTCTTTCTCCAGAGTGTGATAGCTTTCTACTGGATTCCCCTCTGTCCTGTCTCCTCTGAACTCCCTGATTTCGGCCCTTAATCCTCCAGTTGTCTATTTTTGGAAGGTTTTCCCCTCTCTCTCCCCCCCTTTCATAGGAGTCCCAAATTTTTTTGCCACATGGCTTGGGAGTGGTGGTCATGTGACTGAAGGTGCATGAGTGATGTCAAGTTGTCTATACCTGCCCGGTCACATGACTGCCAAGCCATGCCCACAAAATAAGCCACACCCACAGAATAGTTTTTTTAAAAATTTGAAACCTACCACTGCTCCACTGCCACACTACCCATTAGCCAGAGATTTGTAAAGACTTCTGGAACATCTCTCACCTTTGGAGTAGGAGCTACATGATGCCTGAAGCATTATCATTCCATAGGACAGATGATGTGACAGAAAAGTCATAGGTCTGGGTCCCAAAAGATGGGCCTATTGATTGAAATGACCCAAATCATATTGGCTTTGCCTGATCTTACCAGATGGGCAGAAACCATGGGAGACAGACAATCCCTTAGAAAACTTCAGAGAAAGAATTCTACTTTAGTACTTCTGAAAGTAGAAAAATGAACATTGAATTAAGCAAATTAAATTAATTCAACAAAATTGTGCCCATGTATTTTTATTTGAATTAGCACCTGGTGCCAGACTAAATAACATAACGAACCTATATTTAAAAGAACACATGTTATTATTTATTATAGCCCAAGTAGATATATAACTATAATAATTTTCAGGTTTAATAGTTTACTTTCTCAATGCATTAT